ATGATTTCGTAATGGTGAATGATGAGAATGTCATACTTGGGACATCTGTAAGTTAATCAAAAGTTAACATACATTACGATGCATATATCATGTTAATGCAGAGGTCATTTGAACAACTAAAGAAGAAATTTACATTTACATATCAAGATCATATTTCATGGAGGTATGAGATCTCGGAATTCTAGTATTTTCAGTTGCGTTTATCTGTCTGTCTGTTGGTCAACAAGATAACTCAAAAACGCCTGGATGGATTGGTTTCATACTTGGTGTGTTGGTAGGGTGTGACGAAAACTGGAAATGATTAGATTTTGGTTCCCCTAGTGGCTTCCCTTGGTACTGCAGCGCAACTTCCGGTTTTGATATCTCGCGATCTGGACATGCTAGGGTCATGAAATTTGAATGATAGGTAGCTCTCGTGCTTGGGAAGAAGTCAAATGACTTTGGGCCCCCTAGCGGCTTGTTCTGGAACTGCAGGATGGTTTCTTTAAAAATATTTGAGAGAGGATAACTGAACAACTGGTTGATGGATCGTCATGATTTTTGGTATGTAGGTAGCTGAAATGATGCTTGACATGATTAAAATACAATTATGCAAATCAGGATCTAATTTTCATAATTAATGAGGAAATTCTATAAATCTGCTGTATTCCATGTTAGGGCTATGAAACACTTAAGACATATGTAAATTTGAGAACAACAAGATCATTGGTAGATATTGATTATGTAAATGAAGACCTAATTTGCATAATTAATGGAAAATCGGTTCAATTTATGGTGGTAACTGCTGTGAATTTAATACTTGCCATACTTGGAAGTTCAATTAAGGCGGACGTCACTAAACATAACACTAAACACATTTGCATAATTTATGAGGAAACGCTAGAATAGCCTTATTTCTTAAGATCTGATAACCCTGTCATTGGGCGGAGAATATGATCAAATGATATAATATATGCAAATGGCTCTTATAATTTGCATATTGGCAGTAAAAAATGCATAATTCGTCAGCTTGGATGGAAAACATGAGTTGGCAAAGGTATGTCAGAGGTCATACTTGCATATAACCAACAATATCATATGTTGTCCATGTTAAATGGTAAGGATTTCACCAGTGTGTTGTATGTTACTAGGTAGGGGCTATGTGAATAATTTGTATCAAAATTTTGCTAATGAGCAGGATTGTAAATGTAAGCCATTTATGTGATCATCACTATGCATAAGCATTACGAAAGCACTAAACATGTCATGGAGGTATGAGATTGTCGAACTCTAGTTTGATATAATTTTATATGAATCGGAAGTCAGCTTTAGCTTTGTAAACAGTAGATGTGTTAACGAGCATGCAGCTCAGGTAGGTTAGGTTGTTTCACTTAGTTACGATTCCTTTATTTTGACGATGAATCTTCGAGGCTCAGAAAACAAACAGTTGTCTCCAGTAGAGACATGGTGAAGATTAGCCTGCCAAGCACAAATGTGGGTCGACATTATTATATCAATGTGCAAAGTCTTTCAGCCTGTTTGAGCCACTGTTTTTTTCACTAGTGTGAAACTGTTATTCCTACTGAAATGGTAAAGTAGTGGTTAAGTGAAGTTGATTCCCTCTCCTGGGATCTCCCATTACCAGTAGGTGTTAGGCAGTGTGAGGTGAATGGACGAACGCTGTGCTGTACATGTGTTTTGGGTTCCCTCCCCTGGGATCTCCCACGGCCAGTAGGTGTTAGGTAGTGTGACAGTGGGAAGGGGAGCACGCCGTGTTGTGTTACGTGTTCCCTCCCCTGTGATCTCCCACGGCCAGTAGGTGTTAGGAAGTGTGAGGTGAATGGACGAACGCTGTGCTGTGTTTTGGGTTCCCTCCCCTGGGATCTCCCATGGCCAGTAAGTGTTAGGTAGTATGACGGTGGGAAGAGACACACGTTGTCGTGTGAAATGCGTTCCGTCCCCTGGGATCTCCCATGGCCAGTAGGTGTTAGGTAGTGTGACGGTGGGGAGGGACGCACGCCGTGGTTTGTTACGGGTTCCCTCTCCAGGGATCTCCCACGGCCAGTAGGTGTTAGGTAGTGTGACTGTGGGGAGGGACACACGTCGTCGTGTGAAATGGGTTCCGTCCCCTGGGAGCTCCCATGGCCAGTAGGTGTTAGGTAGTGTGACGGTGGGGAGGGATGCACGCCGTGGTGTAATACGGCTTCCCTCCCCTTGGATCTCCCATGACCTATATGTGTTAGGCTGTGTGAGAAAAGCGATATGAGCTCTTGTGACGTCTTCACCTCTGGACAGGATTGCATCTGTGACGTTGACGTACCTGCTCACACCTTGGTCAGCAGGCTGAGATACCAACGCTGTCCTCTGCTGTCGCCGGGACCTTATACCTTCGACCTCGGCGGCGTTTCTGTAGAAGGGATTTCGCTGGCCGTCGGTCTGTCCAGTCGACCCATATGTGGCCATGGATCGTCCAGACCGTCGGTTCTGTCGCCTGTTTGTGACGACATGAAGCAAGATCTCTCCAGCATCAGCATAGAAAGACATCGGTCCGCTCTCCTCGTCATCTGGGATCTCACTGTAGGTATGATGTGAGACAGGCAGGGGACGCTGTGTGGCAGTGTGGTGATCTGGGATCTCCCAGGAAGTGTGCGGGAGGGCGGGCAGGGGGCGGTGAGCAGCGGCCATGTGATCTGGGATCTGGCTGTAGGTGGGTTCAATGGACGGTAGGACAGCCGGCAATGACCTACAGGATGTCGCGTCGTCTGGACCGCCCCCGGGAGTACACGCAGGGAGGGATGCTGACCGGACCACACCGGAGATCGCGTCATCTGGGATCGTCACAGTACACGTGTGGGAGACCGGGCAAAGGCCTCTGTGCAGTCGCTACGTCATCTGGGATCACGCTGTAAATAGGTTCGATGGAGTGTAGGACAGCGGGCAATGACCTACAGGAGACTGCGTCATCCGACGCCATCTTGCCTGAACACGTGGGGAGAGAAGCAGACCTCAGCAAGCCGGGGAAGGTAACGCCAGGCGGGATTGTCCAAATGTGGGCATCGTCGCTGGCCCTGTCATCATCCTCGGTGTTTGACCTTGCTGCGCACACCTTCCATATCAACACTGCAAGGAACGACACGACCAGAACAACCACTGTCGAGACAACAGCTGGGATGAGAACATGACCTGGTGTCTGAACCACCTCTACATCCGGTCCAGGTGTGGTATTACCCTCAAGTGTAAACAGGTCTACCGGTTCTGAAGATGTGTAATCTTTCTCTGTAGTATCAAAGTAGTGTGTCTGACTGCTGGAGTGGTCAGTGCCCGTTCTGTATGTTGTTTCTGTTGTGTGGGTGTTACGCTGAACCAAGGGAACAGTGAAGAACACCTTTGTGTGTTCGCCTCTGATGAGAAGAATGCAAGTGATGTTCTTTGTCTTGTCATGGGTGATGTCTGTGTGAGTAGTGTGCTGTTGGCTACTGCCAGACTCTGAAGTGGTGAGTGTGCTCGTGTCTCGTGTCTGGACAAACGACATGGCAATACCTTTAGAGACCGTACTCTCTGTGCCTGTGTGTATGGGCATGGAAACCAATCGAAAGATTGGGTTTTTCACCAGGGCCACCGTAATGCCACCGTCATATTCCCAAACCTGCCTGCACTGCTCAAGCGTTTTGGTGTCCAGTGTGTCTTCCAGAGAGCCGTTAGAAGCCAGGACAACTACAGGGGGCTGGATGGAGATCGTGCTCAGAGAGCTATCCAAATCACCACATGATCTGAAAGGGTTAAGCGCTCCAATATCGGTGTTACCAGTCACGTTGTCGGAAGAAACAAACATCCACCAGAGCGAGAGTTCGTGAGCATTTTGCCTGACACAGAAGAGGAACTTAGGTACCTCAACGACCATTGTAACTAACCCTCTCGTCACACTGGCTACCCGATGTAGACTCCACATCATTTTGTGTGCCGTTCCATCATGGACAGACGACAACATCCCACTGCTGACATCTAGCCGTGATAGCCAAGACTGTCCCCACAACACCTCTCCATCCAAACATGACAGATCATTATCCCTCAGGTCTAACCGGATGAGCTTTAGCTGTTGGAATGACGCCGGAGAAATGCTATTGATTGCATTCGACCTCAGATTCAGGGACCTCATTCTTTTCATTCCAAAGAACCAGGAAGGATGTACAACCTTTAACAGGTTGTTCTCTAGCTCCAACAGATATAGCTGAGTCAGGCGCCCGAAGCTTCCTGGCTCTATCTGCCTGATGTTATTGTTGGACAAAATAAGCACAAGGAGGCTCCTCAAGCCAGTGAACCAAGTCTGCTTGACATGGGTCAACCTGTTAGAATTTAGGGACAATTTGTTCAGACCAGGAAACCCAGAAAAGGTGTTGTTCTTCACATCAGCGATCTTTGCATCTATCAAAGCCAAAGTGATGACCTTCTCCTGCTCGAGCGGTGCCAGTTTCATGGCCGACAGGACATGGAATGGGTATCCTCTTATTGCCACACCATTTACCCCAGCAAGAGAAGAGAAAGGACTTGTAGGGCCAACACTCCCATTCAGGACCTCACACACGACACATGCATTTATACGAGAAGTGTGCAAAACCACGTGCTTGTACGAAGAAGGCACACACTCCTGCCATTCAGCAGTGTTACAATGAGGAAATCGTGGGCCACTTGAGGCGGCACAGTCAGCTCCCAGTAAGAGAAGCAAGAAGAATATGGCTGCGTTTCTCTTCGCACTTCTTACATACATGCCGTTTACCTGTAGCCAAACCTTTTATTTAAGAAACGATTTGTCACTCACCTACAGTTTGTGGACTTCTTCCGCAGATCTGTAAGCATCAATGACAGGCTTCCTTCCCCCTTTCAAGAAGCTCCGGGAACTAACACGTTTGGCACTGCCGGCCGCAGCCGGCGGCAGCGGCGTCTGAAAGTTCACTGCATTTATTTACCAGACGAATGACTTATAGTGTTTATGTTTATGCACGTCGCGATTGACGTAATTACTACCTTCGCCAGAAGTCATGTTTATTTTGTTTGGATACGGTTGAGTGACGTGTAGGTGGCACGACACTTGAAGCCATGGATGGATGTTCATTATTACCTTCGCCAAGAAGGTTATGTTTTCAGGGGCGTTCGTGTATGTGTGTGTGTGTGTGTCTGTCTGTCTGTCTGTCTGTCTGTCTGTCAACACGATAACTTGAGAAGGTCTTGATGGATTGTCTTGATACTTGGTAGGTGGGTAGGTCTTGATGAGACCTCCAAATGATTAGATTTTGGGCCACCTGGCGGCTTGTCATGGTACTGCAGCAGAACTTCCGGTTTTGATATCTCAAGATCCAGACATGCTAGGGTGACGAAATTTAGATGGTAGATAGCTCTTGTGCTGGGGATAAAGTGACATGAGTTTGAGCCCCCTAGTTGCTTGCTCTAGAACTGCAGGGGGGGGTAATGGACAAATGTTTAAAGGGGGATAACTCAAGAACCAATGGATGGATCATCGTGATTTTTGATATGTAGGTAGCTTGAGTGATGCTTGACATAATGATATTACAATTATGCAAATATGGATGTAATTTGCATAATTAATGAGGAAATTCTATTTATCAGCTGCATTCCATAATAGGAAGTTCAAGCTTG